TTCCGTTTGTTGATGAACTACGACTTGCCTCCTTTTCGGCGGCTGACAATATACTTGTTTGTAGACTTGTTTTTGCGAGTCTTGTAACCTTTGGTCGGATTACCCCAAGGCGAGACTGGGTGGCGACCACCACTAGCACTCTTGCCTTCTCCACCACCATGCGGGTGGTCTACAGGGTTCATTGCAACGCCACGATTGGCCGTTCGCATACCCTTGAAGCGAGAAGGATAGACGCCGCGCTTATGGATGTGGACCAAGTCGGTTTCATCAACGTCTTTTCTGTCGACGTGGTGGCTGGCTACGGGTGCGGTAACAAGAGTTTCAGGTCGCGCTTGAGATATGAGACGAGTAAGGGACGTACCCACGACTCCTGAGAATGCGGTTTGGGTTGGGCCTAGTCCATGTGAGAAGGAGTTGACGTCGTATGTAATACCCGAGGGAACGGGCATGGACGTAGCAGCTAGGTACCGGCTTTAGTCTGGCGTAGGTGCCCATGTCGTTGGATGCGTACCTTGAGCAAGAAGAAGGAAGGAGATAATGGTGTAAAAGTACATGGTGGGGGATGGAACCGTGCCAGCACCTGTACCGAGTCAGCACAACTTTGAGCTACTGAAGGAAATGAACTTGCGAGTGGAAAGTTGTTGTAAGAAAGGGTCAAATAAGTGACAGAGAGGAGTTTCACGCGTCTTTTATGCTGAGAGCAGGTGGACTGCCTCGGACAATTGGCGTCCGTGTGGAATCCAATGGCTGAGCAAGTTTCAACGCACCGCATCACGCTGCAAATATTAGGGATTAGCCGTGAGTTGGATTTCTTATTGATCCAATTGGATAGTATTGCATCATTGTTGTCACAATTGCAAGTAGCGAGGCGCAAGGCTGCGCTGCGCGTGCCAACTACCTCCTAGATCAAACCGACTATGTCCAGTAGAATCAAGTGACGCATAACATGATACAAGCAGTTTCATTTATTCATTCCAAGCTTGTATATAAAATATCAAGATAGGCTCTCGACGTGATATCGGCCCACTTTTTAACTATACTCCTTTTCCCTTTACCGCGTGGATGATCGACGGGGTTCATGACGGTGCCACGAACGGTGGGACGAATACCTATAGTGCGTTCGCGGCGAACGAGATGAGGTTGGGCATTATGTTCCTCGTCGGACAACTCTTCGGGGGTATGGTGATGGGCTAAAGAGTGATTAGGTTGGACCGTGTTAGTGGAGAGAGTATTCACCTGCTACCCCCGCCGTTATCATTCGTCTTGGCTCTTGACCATGGGCGACTTGGCTCCTTTTAACCTTGGACTTTTTTTTCGGCCGAGTTTTGAGGGCTTTGGAGAGTTTTCCCCAGGGTGAGACGGGCTTGCGACCACTCGATGACCTTCCTTCTCCCCCACCATGCGGATGATCGACAGGGTTCATGACGGTACCACGAACGGTAGGGCGGAGGCCTAGAAAGCGCGTTAATCCACGGCGAACAAGATGAGTTTGGGCGTCGTGTTCCGCGTCGAATGGCTCTTCATGAGCATGGTGATGAGCTAGAGAGTGATTAGGGGTGAGGTATGGAGGTGGCAAGAGTATTCACCTGCTACCTTCGCCGTTATCATTCGTCTTGGCTCTTGACCGTACGCTATGTCGTGTCCTGTGCCCACAGGTACAGGCAGCGACACAACGACTACATCAGATTCCTCGTTAGTTTACTGAAATTGACTAGAGTTTGTAACAAATACCTCTGAGAAGAAGAAAGAAGGAGAAAAAAGAGAAAAAGTACATGAGAAAAGCGTGCCTGCGCCTGATAAATGTCAGTATATCCCCAATCCATCAACGCAGAAACGTACAGAGTTGACCAAAGCAACAACAGAAGAAAGAAATGTTAGAGTCCAAGTTGAAGCCACCGTCTACTTATGTCCTGGGAGGAGGTGCACAGCCTCGGGTACAGTGTCCCACGACAATAAACCAGCCTACACGCCACAAATATCAACTAAATAGGAAGAAAGTCAATTGAGTGGTCAAAAATCACGAGATAAGGGTCAATTAAGTTCGGTAATCTGATACGGTCGATGATTGGGCAACTCGTTATGGTCACGTGACTTGACGTTCTTCATCCCGACCACATTCGCCTTTGACAACATCACTCCGAAATACGATCGGAATATTGGAAATGCATCAAACTATGATTAATTATGGTATGACAGGAGCAGCGGAGATCACGTCCGACGTGACAGGGACTCGGTGCCTGCGTCATTCCTAGCGCCGACACTCGTAGACACCATTGAAGAAACGGTCAGAAGCGCTCCAATCAGATACTTGCTCGCCATCGTCAACACGTCAGTGCCGCCTCTAGTCTCGTCAACACCGTCGGCCAGGACCCTCGACTACTCACAATCCACACTCTGGTTTCCTGTAAAAAATCACAGGAACAAGTACCGCTACCTCGATGCGTTTCATAAAGAATGAGGGCTATTGCTGGCAAGTGTCTCTATGCTTATGCCAAGATTTGCCGAACTGATTCCCCAAAATAGCAACACTGCTAGGCTGCCAGCCTCCAGCACGGACATCCCCTATCAGTAACTAGAATGGCTGGTCTCGAGTATTTAGGAAGGCGGGGAGAGAGGGGATCCGTAACCTCATCTCTCCCTCGATGCGCCTCCAGCTCAAGCACTGGCCTCTAGTCGTGCTCCTCCCCGTTCTCGTCGCTCCTTTTGCAATCTTTGGTGGCTTTCATAAAAAGAATACCGACTTTGCGCAATGCAAACAGCGGTTTATCGATTCAGAAGTCTTGCATGCGCGGTACAACTGGACAGGTCCTATCGAACACTTGCCCCCTGGCGTCCTTAGAGGGTTTCACATCACCCTTCAAGGGTGTAAAGATGAATGTGGGCAGTGGCCCGACTTTTATGATTTTAGTGTATGGTCTAGCGCCGTCACGACATGGGTGAGTTCACACCACACTTGGAGACACGACGCTCATCCTATTAGGTCCTACCCCTCTTCGGACTCATCCTCCAAGCCCCCTTTTTCTCCCACGAATTCATCGACACTGTACGCACGCTCTACCGATGGTTAGGCAACCCCATGTCCTCCATCTCGGCCACAATCTGGAACATTCACGTCACCCGTAAATGCGCGATCGTCGTCGACATGATGATACCCCTCAACTTTAAAAAGCCAGGTCAGCTCGTCGACATGGACGGGTTTTGGGCGATGCGTGATTCCATCTTCCTCCTCTCCGTCATCAACCAGTACAATATCAACAAGAACCGTTTGTTCCATCATGAAGGTGCGACAGAGCTGTTGATGCGCAAGGCACTGTTTTTGCCCGCGTTGAAGAACGTGAGGGCCGGGATGGCGGATCGGATCAGGAGAGATGGGAGACAGAGCGTCGTCCCGCTCTTCATCTCTCTTCTCTGGTTCGCCATCTCCATCGCCCTCTCTATATTCCAAGCTTTTGGCGACTTGGGAGCGAACGCTACTGCGCACAATTTGGCCATGGGACTGTTGATGGCGTGGTTACCCGTATTCGCCACTGCGAGTATTGTCGATCGCAATCCGAGCGATGCGGATTACGTACGTGACCAGCTCAACGACTTGTTCAAGGCGGTCGAGAGGGCGCAGACGGGAGAGGTTACTCGTGCCATTGTCGCGTTAAAAGAGTCGAGCATTTCTGCGTCGACTTTTCAACGAGAGTGGGTGAGGAGGGTGGTCAAGCTTGCGGAGAAACCTCAGGTGGAAGAAGTGAGGGAAAAGTTGGATGAAGAGTTGCACGCTTCGGCTTCGCCGTTTGCCTCTCGAGACGAGGTCGTACCTGAAGCGTGGACCGAGCCGCTCGGTGTTCTTTCTAGCTGGGTGGCACGGTCTAGTACCGGCCCTGATGTCCTCCAAGAGTTTTGTGGGCAAGGGAGGTACCCTTGGCATTTGGGCGTCACCCATCCTATCCTCCGACACATCACCCAACGGTGCCTTCCCAAAGGACGAGGGTGGATGACAAATTACGAGTTGATTTCGGCGAGGTTTGTGGGTGATGGTGAAAAGCAGAGGTCGTTTTCCGTCTCGTTTTCCTCTCTCCCCCTCCCGATTTTGACGGGCGTTGCGGTGGTGGGTGCTTCTTTCTTTGGAGCGTATTGGATTTCGTATAATGAGCCGACCGTCGGACTAGGATGCCGAGTGAGTGTCTCTTTTATTCCTATTCCATTACTAACATTTATTAGTCCCTTGGTTATGTGATCTTTGCCACGGTAGCGTTGGCCCTGTGGTGTATAGAGTACCTGGTCCCCCCCTCCCTCCTCCACACCCCCCGCATCAAAAAAACTCTCCTCACACTCATCTCCATCCTCGAATGCTTCAATTTTACCTGGCTCCTCTTCATCGTCACCGCCCAAACTACAGGTCTCTACAACACCTGTCTCTGCAAATCGAGCATCTTCGGGCGACATGGGGGTTACATGGATTTTGAAACGATAGAGTACTATAAAGAGTTTGGAATCTTTACGACCTGGACGATCGGTACCGTTATTGGTGTGACGGTACCCGGATTGGTGTTGCAGTTTGTGATTTACCAGTGGTGTAGTCAAGCGCATTTGAGGACAGTGGATCGGACAAAGGCGATGAATGGGTTGAGGAGGGTGAGGTTGTTTAAGCGGTGGAGGTTAAGGAGGACTGTGTTGGGGCAGATATGGAGCTGGGTCGATGGAAGTACCGGGGCGTACACTTGGACCGACGAGCCAGCAGCTTCACCTGCGTAGTTTCTATGGTTCTTATTGATATGTTTGGGTTAATTTGTGGATTAGTTTAGATGGAATGGACTTGTTGTATCACGTTCAGAAGTGGTGGCTCTGAATCCGTTGGGCGCGCCGTCGGGTACCGTAAGCCGTTCCAACCTGATCATCACCATATTTCTTGACCCTCCTTTCCAAAGCGACTCATCTCCTTATGAGGTCGGTGAATTGTCAATTACACTTCAGATTCTGATCATTACCTCAGCTTGTTAATATTCAGAGGTGATTGATTAGAACACACCGGGCGCGCTTGGCTAATGTCCATTGCGTTAGACGCGGCGGTCGAGTTATTGGTCAAGTATGAACTATAGGCATACAACTCACCGAATGGCCCCCGCCCTTTTTGTGTATTTCTGGCCCATCCAGATCGACAAAGCCAAGTAACAAGCGCTCATCCTCAGAAAGCGCCACTGACACTGTTATTTTGAATACACCAGATATGTCCCGTCTCCATGATCATATTTATCAGTAATTTTCGAACGATTTAGATTATACAAATACCTACAGGACCAAAGACTGATCGCCTCCCCATACGCCAGGTTCGGACTCGCGGGAGTTCAAGTTTGTTTTATCTATGGTTTGTCCATTCGTATCGAGTTCCAGTAAAAGCTGGGAAACGTCGGTGAGAAAGCAGTCATCCTTGACCAATAACTCGACCGCCGCGTCTAACGC